AACATGGATCTCAACACCCTCAGAATACGCCACGTACCCAACCCGGTCCACCATATGGTGAGATTGAATGAATGTTTTTTTTTCGAATTTCACGATCTTTAATTCGTTCTAGAGCGCTAATTGGCTAACCGTGCGCTGATCAACCCATTCTTCCACTCCAAATGAGAATCTTCGAACAGTTTCCAGCAGTAGTAGTAGACCTATTATGTGACATTCCCCACATTTAGAGGAGATGATTTGCGGAAACCTGAGAAGATAGCCAGGAATCTCTCCACAGACGTAGACTCCAGTTACTTCTCTGTAAGATTGATGTAGAATATTTGGTCACGGGTAAGCGCTCCGTCCGTGGTGTGGCCCCAAACATCACTCTCCGTCATGCCCTAAAATGAAAATCAGAGTTTTTGCTCTTCCAGATGACTCTACAGAGCTGAGGGGTGCACCGTTTCGATTTCCCATGAAAAATACTACCGAATGGTGTACAACTCAGGTTTCACACAAAACTTTGTTTTTCTCACTTTTTTGCTCCCCATTGCCGATCGTCCTCCCAGCCCTTGGCGCCACGTGCGATTTAGCGAGAAATTCTCTCCACCGACGTGGACTCCGGTCACTTGTCTGTAGGAAAGAGGTAGAATATTTGGTCACGGGTAAGCGCTCCGTCCGTGGTGTGGCCCCAAACATCACTCTCCGTCATGCCCTAAAATAAAAATCAGATTTTTTGCATTTCCAGATGAACTCGCAGACCTGAGATGTGCCCCATTGGATTCCCCGTGAAAAATGCTATCGAATGATATGCATTACTCCTCCCAGTTGAAACTTTGGTTTTTCACCGTTTTCAGCCTTCCCCTATTGCCATCATTATTCCACTATTACTATCCCAAAATCTCAAAGTTTCATTTTTCGTCGAAACTTTGCCTATTGGGGTAATTCGATGCCCTGATTACGAATATGACATTCATTCTCGTAGTGGGGCCCCAAACATCACACCTCGCCCCATTTTTTGCGACAACTTCAACTTTTTTTTGTTCCATGTTTAGAGCAGCTGTTATGTAGAAAGCTGTGAAGGCAGCGACAAATTTCCTTTACTGACGTAGACTACGGTTACTTGTCTGTAGGAATTACATAGAAACCTTGGTGGCAGGTGAGTCTTCCTTCCGTAGTGCGACCCCAAACATCACACCTCGTCATGCCCTTGCGATATGATCAGATTTTTTTTGGTTCTCCAGATGAACATAGAAGACTGAGATGTGCACCATTCAATTCCCCATAACAAATACTGTCGAACGGTATACAACTCACTTTCTGGAGAACATCTAGTTTACCTGCCACTAGATCCATTTTGTGACATTTCCCGCAATTTTCGAAGGGATGTTTTGAGGAAATTCGAGAAGGGAGGGACGAACTCTCTTCCCTATCGTAGAGTAAGTTTACTTGTATGTTGGAAAAAGATGATACACTCGGGCTTGAGCGAGTGTTTCTTCCCTGGTGTGGCCTCAAACATCGCTCTCCGTCATGCCCTGAAATAAAAACCAGATTTTTTGGTCTTCCAGGTGGCTCTACGGAGCTGTGGTGTACACCATTCGATTCTCCATGCAAAATGCTATCGAACGATATACATCTCAGTTCCCACTTGAAACTTTCGTTTTTCACCGTTTTCGGCCTTTTCCTTATCGCCGATCGCCTTCCTCAGCCCTGGCCACCCACGTGCTATTCACGTGCGCGGTGCGTGTGACTTTCCCACGCACTTTCGACACGCATAGCGGTGTATCGATCGGGCTGCCCGCCAGCTACCGAGAAAGGCCATCGGCTGTCACGTGAGCTCTCACGCACCGCGCACGTGAATAGCACGTGGGTGGCCAGGGCTGAGGAAGGCGATCGGCGATAAGGAAAAGGCCGAAAACGGTGAAAAACGAAAGTTTCAAGTGGGAACTGAGATGTATATCGTTCGATAGCATTTTGCATGGAGAATCGAATGGTGTACACCACAGCTCCGTAGAGCCACCTGGAAGACCAAAAAATCTGGTTTTTATTTCAGGGCATGACGGAGAGCGATGTTTGAGGCCACACCAGGGAAGAAACACTCGCTCAAGCCCGAGTGTATCATCTTTTTCCAACATACAAGTAAACTTACTCTACGATAGGGAAGAGAGTTCGTCCCTCCCTTCTCGAATTTCCTCAAAACATCCCTTCGAAAATTGGGAAATGTCACAAAATGGATCTAGTGGCAGGTAAACTAGATGTTCTCCAGAAAGTGAGTTGTATACCGTTCGACAGTATTTTTATGGGGAATTGAATGGTGCACATCTCAGTCTTCTATGTTCATCTGGAGAACCAAAAAAATCTGATCATATCGCAAGGGCATGACGAGGTGTGATGTTTGGGGTCGCACTACGGAAGGAAGACTCACCTGCCACCAAGGTTTCTATGTAATTCCTACAGACAAGTAACCGTAGTCTACGTCAGTGAAGGAAATTCGTCGCTGCCTTCACAGCTTTCTACATAACATCTGCTCTAAACATGGAACATGTCGCAAAAAATGGGGCGAGGTGTGATGTTTGGGGCCACACTACGAGAATGAATGTCATATTCGTAATCAGGGCATCGAATTACCCCAATAGGCAAAGTTTCGACGAAAAATGAAACTTTGAGATTTTGGGGCAGTAATAGTGGAATAATGATGCCCAATCGGCAATAGGGGAAGGCTGAAAACGGTGAAAAACCAAAGTTTCAACTGGGGAAGTAATGCATATCATTCGATAGCATTTTTCACGGGGAATCCAATGGGGCACATCTCAGGTCTGCGAGTTCATCTGGAAATGCAAAAAATCTGATTTTTATTTTAGGGCATGACGGAGAGTGATGTTTGGGGCCACACCACGGACGGAGCGCTTACCCGTGACCAAATATTCTACCTCTTTCCTACAGACAAGTGACCGGAGTCCACGTCGGTGGAGAGAATTTCTCGCTAAATCGCACGTGGCGCCAAGGGCTGGGAGGACGATCGGCAATGGGGAGCAAAAAAGTGAGAAAAACAAAGTTTTGTGTGAAACCTGAGTTGTACACCATTCGGTAGTATTTTTCATGGGAAATCGAACGGTGCACCCCTCAGCTCTGTAGAGTCATCTGGAAGAGCAAAAACTCTGATTTTCATTTTAGGGCATGACGGAGAGTGATGTTTGGGGCCACACCACGGACGGAGCGCTTACCCGTGACCAAATATTCTACATCAATCTTACAGAGAAGTAACTGGAGTCTACGTCTGTGGAGAGATTCCTGGCTATCTTCTCAGGTTTCCGCAAATCATCTCCTCTAAATGTGGGGAATGTCACATAATAGGTCTACTACTACTGCTGGAAACTGTTCGAAGATTCTCATTTGGAGTGGAAGAATGGGTTGATCAGCGCACGGTTAGCCAATTAGCGCTCTAGAACGAATTAAAGATCGTGAAATTCGAAAAAAAACATTCATTCAATCTCACCATATGGTGGACCGGTTGGGTACGTGGCGTATTCTGAGGGTGTTGAGATCCATGTTTCTGTGGGATGATCAGGCTGCATAGGAGGACTTATATGCGCATCACATACAAAGTATATTCATTACTTCTCGGGATGGAGGTCGAGTGCATGGCGCAATCCTAGATGGAGCTCTTTCAGAAATTGAATTTAACCATCTTGTAGATCTCGAGCAGAGCTATCAGATGGTATAAACTGCAGGTCGAGCGAACCATTTTTTAAAGAGTTATGGCGAGCCGACGGTTTGCGACGGTTTCCGACCGTCGCAAACCGTCGATTGAACAAAAATTAGTAGCGGTATTGTACTTTGTTCGTCTTCCCTGGGTTAAGTACCCACGGTCGCAGGACGCTGTCTCGTCAGTCGTCGCCACTTTAGTCTGTCCAGGGCGTCCTCTGCTGTGGCCATGACTTCACTTAGATCCTTCTTGATCACATCTCTCCACCTCTTCTTTGGGGCTCCTCGCGGTCGCTTGCCTTGCACTTCGAAGTCCATCGCTGTTCTTATCGGATGATCCTGTGGCCTCCTTAGCACATGCCCATACCATCGTAGACGCTGTTCCCGTACCTTCAGCTGGACAGGGGCAGTCTGCATGACCGCTCTAACATCTTCGTTTCTAACTCTGTCCAGCCGCGTCCAGCCGCAGGCCCACCTCAGCATCCTCATCTCAGCGGAGTGAAGCTGCCTTTCGTGGTTCTTGTTCAGGGGCCAGCACTCGCTGCCGTATAGCATCGCAGGCCTTACTACTGTCCGGTACACCTTCCCTTTGAGCGTTCTGGAGCACCTTCGATCGCAGAGGATTCCAGTGGACTCCCTCCATTTCATCCATGCTGTGTTGACCCGAGCCTTCACCGCCTGATCCACACTGCCATCAGCTGCCAGTCGCTCCCAAGGTAGCGGAAGTCCTCCACTCTTTCGATGGTCTCACCATGGCCGTCTACGATCGGCTCTGCACCCTCTTCGGAGCTCAGGAACTTGGTCTTCTTGACATTCAACCGGAGCCCGCCTTCTGCCAGGACATTCTGCCATCTCTGCACCTTGGCTTGAAGTGCCTCCCTGCTATCCGCTATCAGAGCTATGTCGTCAGCGTAGAGGATGGTCTTCAGTGGTCCTTCCATGAGTTCCTTGACATGGTATCGAGCGTTAGGAGGAACAGGAAGGGGCAATAATTAACATTGAGTATACGTTTGATAATACGATCGAAAGCAATAAATAAAAACATTTGACATCCTTATCGATTTCCCACTGCTCCGTCTTGTGAATTCGCATCGCGACCGCTCGCGTCTCTGGTTTGTCCATCGCAACACCGACATCGGATGGGAATGAAAGCAATAGGATCTTTCAAAAGTGTTCCGTGTGGAGCACTGAATAGCAATTAGAGATCATTTCGATCTCAGTAGTCTTTTTTCAATGTTGTTGGCAATAATTTTAAGTTTCGCTGTAATTAAATAAATGTACGATTAATAAGTATGATATACGAAATTGGAGTTTAGACGTTTTCAAGCCAAGGACTGTCGGGTCGAGCCAGGATAAGCAATCACAGCAAAATCAAAGTGATTGTTGTGCCGTTCACGCACACCGATCCAGGTAAGACAATTACAAGTTTGACCAAATTTTGATTTTTTCGTGTTTAATTTAGTTTTTGGCTTGTATTTCAGGTATAGGAAGGCTTAGACTCCAATTGACCCTTTGAGGGCTGAAAAATAGAACTGCAACCACAAGTTCAATTTGATTTATTTATTTGTTTATTTATAGCTATTGTACAGTGTTACGCTGAATTAATACGTTAATAAAAACGAATTTACAATAATTAGGGAGTGAATAAAAAGAACTCAAAATGCAGTCGGTAGCTAGTGCTCAGAAGTATTGGAGAGAGGGATTGGGGGGGAGGGGGAGATAGCCTAACGATGGCAATGGCCGACCAACATTGCAAGCCACTGCCGAACGGCTCCGAACACCAACTTAGTGGGTTCGTCAGCTCATCCAAGGGTATATAGCGGGTGGGAATTTGGGTGAGCAGACTACGATATTCAGATGTTGAGTAATTTTTTGTGAACGCAGGTCTTTAACAGAAATTGTTATAACCCGTGTGGCCCGACTTAAGAATAAGCTTCTAAAGCTCAAGTAATCAGTAAGCAGTATGTTTGTTCGTTTAGTCTATTTGTGATTCTAAACAGCCCTTTATAAAGAAAATCTAGAAATTCGCGTGAGTTCAGCAGCTTTGTCGGTTCCTGTCGGGAATCCTGGATAACGGAGAACAAGAATGCTCGGAATAGTCGGAAAAACTAAACTTGGCAGAGAAACCTCCGTTCGCGGCGCTTCTAGGTTTTTTTTTCGCTCAAAAATCAAAGCATAGCTGCGAATGTCATCCCACTAAAGCAAGAAATTGAAGAAAGGATTGAAAGTGCTAAAGTAAAGGCAAGCTCCCGGATAAAATTACTGTGTAAGAGCGTTTAGTAATGAAACTGGAGGAGGGGAGTGGCTTGGAGAAGAAAACGAAAGCGAAAAGAAACCCTCGATTGGATCCCAAACAAGGCCTCCCTCTTTTCCAGCCGCATTCCGCCTTGAGATAGAGAAGGGGAGTGTTGGACGAGTTTCGCGAATTACTTCCAGTTGCGCCAGTGCCAGTGACATTGAACCGCAATGCAACCGCTGCCGCAACTGCGCCCGCGCTTGGGTGTCCCCCAAGAGGCCCATCGCGCGGCGAAGGAAGAGACGCAGACGCGGCAAAGGACGAGTCGCAGCGCATACTGTAGCGGTTAGGCGTCAGGTTAAATAGAGTGTACCATACTACGTCTCATATCGCACAGCACGCGCTGCGACTCGTCCTTTGCCGCATCTGCGTCTCTTCCTTCAATGGGCCTCTTGGGGGACACCCCGCGCTTTCTAGCAGCGTCACGTGGACAAGCCGACAGCGGAAGGCGGGGCTTGCGGACGAAGGTGTGGATTGCGGGTCGAGCGAGCTTCTAGCGCCTTTGTCGCGCACTTTCAAGCCGCAAAAGGGGCGCGACATCAACGCTTGTCCGCCTGTCTACTACGCTCGGGATGGAACAGGTGAGCGTGCCTAATCCCGGATTGCACCTTTAAGGTATCCTCAGAGGTGGATAGCGCTATGACCAAGAGACGCTGTGCGTCAAGGAGCGGAAAGATATGGGGGAGCAAAGCGACGAGCGAGAGCAGACAGCCACTGAATATTACGTAGCGATTGAAAGTCTAGCTCAGCACAAAAGTGAAGACACTACTTCCCTTTACGTGTTTCAATATGGCGTTTTTTACATCAATAAAAACCAAGGATAAAGCATTTGCCGTTGATCAATCCCTTTTTGGGATGCGGCACGCATTCTACTTCCATTTGTACATTCGTAGTGGCGTTTGAATGCGATGTGGCCTATACAATGACTTGCGGGGGCCAGCCGATGTACAAGTCAGTGTTTTTATCCTCCCAGACAAGTCTGGTACCAATTAACCGACCCCGGAGGGATGGAAGGCTTGGTTGGCCCGGGCGACTCACGACCCAGGATTTGATCCCCGGACCGCTCGCGTGGTAAGCGTGCCACTTGCCACTACACCACTTCCGCCCATTTTTACCTCAATAGCAGCTTTCTTCTACTCATAGAAGGGTTGATTTAATTCAGCTTCGTGGAATGTGTCATTAAAAAATCCGTTAGCTTACGGTAGCCTGTGGACTTCAATGCCAGTGTTTAGGGTGGCTAAGGACGTTTGACTCGTATTCCAAAGACACGGACGACACCTTGGATGCGATGTATGAGGGGCTATTTAAAGGAATCTTCCACGGACCATGGACCAGTGGGCGGGACCGGAAGTGGTTTTGCGACGAAATGCATGGTAGGTACGGATCCACGTTCATGGGAAGGTTTGAAGTGAATCCTGTTCACGTTCGTGCGTTCGACACGTGGATCCGTACCTACCATGCATTTCGTCACAAAAACTTCCGGTCCCGCCCACTGGTCCATGGTCCGTGGAAGATTCCTTAAAGCTTCGTTGATGGTCATTAAAAATCGTTAGCTTACGTAGCCTGTGGACTTCAATGCCAGTGTTTAGGGTGGCTAAGGACGTTTGACTCGTATTCCAAAGACACGGACGACACCTTGGATGCGATGTATGACTTTCTTCGGACACATCCGGATATGACGTTCATGTGGGCGGAGACAATTTTTCTGGAACATTGGTGGCGCGAGCAAAACGATACCGTCCGCAAAGACGTCAGAGAGTAAGCTATCAAAGTTTGAATCAATATTAGCTCAAATCCACAGCAGTGTAGTGGCTAAGGTGTAGTGCAGTATGCGTACATTGCTAGTTCGATCTCCTCCCAAAACTTAAAAATCACCTGTATCACCCGTCGTCCCGTCGATTTGCTCGAGCGGGCGCCAGAAACGTCTCCATTCGTCCCTGTCGCGTGCTAGAGTGGTCCAGTGGATCCTTAAAAATACCATCAACAAATTCTCCGCTCTTAGTACACGGCTCATCCTCAGAACTTTAGACAATACCAACTGATGCCGCATCCTTTCGAATACTGAAGGGAGCTTTTATTCGGAATGACAGATCATCTGCTGCCCAGAACTTTCTCTTCTTCTTATTTGTATCTTCTGTTTGCGTTTATTTATTTATTTACCTATTCATTGGAAGCATAGGCAAGTCTACGTGAAATAGCCAGGTGAAACATGCCTAAAGCTAAAAGGACAAGGACCCACAGATTATGGCAAAGAAGGTTTCTGAAAATTGACTGTCACTCAGGTCAAAAATCGCTGATTCAATCCAAATCACGGCTACAAATTGTGAACATATCTGTGAACATGCACTATTTGTTTCTCAAGTGACAACAGTGTTCTTTAGTTTCAAACCTTTAGTCAAATAGGCTTTGATATATGAGGAGTTAGTTTTGTTCAAAGTTTGAGGATAAGCCGTGTACTTATCTTCCAGTAAGAATCGTAAAGGCCACTCGACATGTCCGAGGAGCGTTTTCAAACCCTAAAGT